TGGCCCCGGCGTCCGCCGAGCCGTTAGTGCCAGTGTCCTGCCCGCGGGGCCGACGCTCGATCCCCGCCCGGCGCGAGCCCGCCACCGCTCCTCTCGACGCTTGACCCATCCCAGTCCCAACGCCCAGTGCGGCCGCCCCAAGAGCCGCGGGAGCGGTAGCGGCGCGGGGAGGAGGGAGAGGTGGGCCGAGCTGGCGGCCGGGGAGGCCCGGTGAGTACGCGGAGGGCCGGCGGGACCGCCCCGCGGGTGCCCGCTGTGGCGCCCTTCAGGCGGTTGTGGCGCCTCGGCCTCGCTCCTCTCCGCGCCGCGGGCTCGGCGGTTAGCGGCCTGGCCTGAGGCGACGGGCACCGCCGGCCAGAGCCTCTGGGCAGAGGGCGCGGGAGGGCCGCTCCCTGGAAAGGGCCCCGACGCTCGGTCGAGGGCTCTGGGGCAGCGGAGTGGGACCTGCGCCTGATCTCAGGCCCCGGCGCCCCGGCCGTGGCCGCGACTCCGGAGGCCCCGCGGGGGCCAGGGCCGCTCGAGTGACAGGTGCCGCCGCCCCCTCCCCGCCGTTGGCATCCGCGGCTTAGCCCTGCGAGGGCCGCCGGGCGCTCGGAAATTTCTGGAGCGACGACCTGACTCGCTGTTTTTTCCCTTTCAGGTTTTCAAGCCTCCTCTCTACCGGAGTTACTAGGTCTCATCCAGCTGTATTTCTTTCTCTGTGTACTTTATGCGAATAAGTTTTGGAGCATCTGTTAACAGCTTATGGGTGAAATTTGGCTTTCATTCATGAACGAGGTATAGTGCGTTACTTTTTGAATATAGCGCTCCCACCTCCCCCGCCATCTATTGAAAAGTAAGCGAGCAGGATTTTTGTTAATTTTTTTCTGTTGTTTGGAAGAAGCAGTTTTTCAGAATTTTGGTTAGATCACTAACATTTAGGGTGCTTAGTAAATACTATGGCAAAAATGGTTTATTAAATTGTCTGATTGCCTTCTCTCCCCAGTTGGTTATACGTTTTTCATTCTCACTTTAGCCGGATTTCACAATTGAGTTAGGTGCATTACTACCACTAGTGAAAGATCGTCTTACACCGAAAAGCCATTGAATCATAACTCAACATTATCTGTCTCTTCATGTATGTAAATATGCTTGTGATTTTAACCTGTATTATTAGTTTAAAAAACTGATATGAAGCTACATTTTGAGGAACTCCATGGCAAATTAAAATGTTAAAAATCTTTAATCTGTTGAAATCTAGATTTTTTCTCAACAGGTTTATAACACTGTATTTGGTATGAGTCAAATCCTAATTAATAAAAAGGATTTTTTAAATGCTATAAACGGTTACAACAAACTTATCTTTAAGATACCAACCTAGTAGTTTCAACTGTCTGGAGTAAGAGCAAGAACAGGGAAGGAGATGAAAAGAACACTGAGCAAATGAAAATAGATGCAGAGACTAAGGAGAATCCCTTAGTCCTCACACAGTCCCTACTTGTATTTTTTGGTTAGATTTCTCAGCCTACAGAAATTAGGAGCTACAAACTGGGGAGAGGAGGCAGTACCTAACTATGAGGAAAAAAATGGAATTTAGGGCATACCTATTAAGTTTATTTGGTTTGTTTGCAGTAAATGTGTACTAGGGAAAGTTTCGATATACACTTGGCACTGGTGGTTGTGAACCTTTTAAGAAATCAAAGTGAATGATATTGTTTACTTGTATTATTGGGGAAGAGAACATGAAATAATACAGTTTTAAAATTTTATCAAGTATTAAATCATCGATACTCAGTGTCATTTCATTTTATGGCACTTTTTCACTTTTTAAAATCTCACATCTCAAAGAGGCCATGTTCATTGGCATCTGTAAATAGATAGGATATATAGATAGCTGCTGCCTAGCCAACTCCAACTCATGGCAACCCCATGTACAGTAGGATGAAGTGTTGTCTGGTCCTGTGTCATTCTTACAATCGCCAGCATGTTCCAGTCCATCATTATGGCTGTTGTGCCAGTCCATCTCACTGAGGGTCTGCCTTGCCCCCTTGCTGGCCCTCTACTTCACCAAACCAGATGTCTTTGATTGATCCCTCCAGATGATGTGTCCACATGGGTGACCCTACAGGTATTTGAAATACCAGTGGCATAGCTTCCAGCATCATAGCAATACACAAGCCACCACAGTATGACATACTGACAACATGGGTGGTAGAATTGGTATCTAGATTGCATTTATTAATTAATAAATTAAAATTTATTAATTTTTAAAAATCATGCTAACTTGTGTTAAAGAGAGATGACTGTCATTCATTTTATAAAAAGGGATGTGTGTGGTTGTTCTTGATTTTGAAGTACCCTAATTGTGGTCCCCAGTGGTTAAGAGCCTACAGCTGCTAAGCAAAAGGTCAGCAGTTTGAATCCACCAGCTGCTCCTTGGAAATCCTATGGGGAGTTCTGCTCTGTCCTATAGGGTCACTGTGAGTCTGAATCGACTCGACGGCGGCAGTGGGTTTGGTTTGGTTTGGGACTGAGATAGGAGAGAAAGATGTGGCAGTCTGCTTCCATAAGGATTTACACCTTGAAAACCATATGGGGCAGTTCTACTCTGTCCTTTAGAATTGCTATTAGTTGAAATCAACTTGACAGCACTGGGTTTGGGGTTTTTTTTTTTTTTGACTGACATATGGCTATGGTTATGGCTACCATCTTTCTTAGCCCTAGTGAGGTCATAGGTTAGAGGAATGAGGTCACAATGGCAGTGGTCCTCAGAACCTTGATGCAGCACAGGCAACACAAGAGTACCAGCGATTTAGAAATCCTGCTGCTTGCAGTTTAGGCTGTTCATATATTAGAAATAGTTAAGCACCTGTTGTATCCCGATTCTTTTTTTGCTTATTTATTGTATATTTCTTTTTTTTGTTAATAAACTTTACTTATTTTGTTATTGTTGAGACTATATACAGCACAACATATGCCAATTCATCAGTTTCTACACGTATCATATAGTGACACTGATTATATTCTTCAAGTTGTGCAACCGTTCTCACCATCCTTTTCTGAGTTCTTCCTCCCTCATTAACATAAACTCACTGCCCCCTAAGATTCCTATCTAATCTTTGGAGTTGCTGTTGTCAGTTTGATCCCATATTGATAGATCTCAAAAGAGCATAATGCTCAAGGGAGACCTTTTTACTAGTTAAGCTAAACTATTGTTTAGTTTTAAGAAGACATCAGGATTTTTTTTGTTTAAGATTTAAAGACTATCTCAGGGCAGTAGTTTCAGGGATTCTTCCAACCTCTATGGCTCCAGGATGTTTAGAGTCCATGAGAATTTTAAATTACGTTCTGCCTTTTCCCCCTTTTGATCAGGATTCTTCTATGGAATCTTGATCAAAATGTTCAGTAATGGTAGCCAGGCACCATCCAATTCTTCTGATCTCATGGCAAAGGAGGGAGTTGTTCATGGAGTCAGTTAGCCACACATTCCATATCCTCCTCCAGTTCCTGACTCTACTTTTTCCTCTGATGTTCCAGGTGAGTAGAGACCAACTGTTGTGCCTTGGATGGCTGCTTGCAAGTTTTTAAGACTGCAGGTACTATGTAACAAACTAGAAAGTAAAACAGAAGCGCTAAACACTTCATTAGGCCAAATAACTGGGCTGTATGATGAAACCATGACCCTAAACCTGTAAACCAAGGAACCAGATCCCATGAGGTATTTGGTTGTATATGAGCAGCCTCATCACCTACTCTTTTTTTTTTCTTTGTTGTTGTAAATACATGCATCTGTCACACAACTTTTGCCAGTTCAGCTTTTTATAGGTATCCAACTTATTGACAGCAATTACATTAATCGCCTGTGCAACCCCACTCTTAATCAATACGATTTTTCTGTGACTGTTAACACCACCTTTCCCCCATTCCTACCACCCCTGGTAACCACTAATAAACTTTGGTCTCTATACATTTGCATTTTCTTGTCTTTTTATATAAGCGATGTAATGCAAGATTTGTCTTTTTGTGATTGGCTTATTTTGCTCAGCATAATGTCTTCAAGCTCCATCCATACTGTAGCACGTATCAAGACTTCATTTCTCCTACTGGCTGAGTAGTATTCCGTTGTATGTATGTACCACATTTTGTTCATCTATTCATCTGTTGATGAGCATTTAGTTTGTTTCCACTTTTTGGCTATGGTGAATGAATAGTGTTGCAGTGAACATCGTTGTACAAGTCTCTTTTTGAGTCTCTGCTTTTAAATCTTTTGGGTACGTACCTAGGAGTGGAGTTGCCTGTACCATTTTGCATTCCCACCAGCAATGGATAGGTGTTCCAGTTTCCCCATATCCAAAATTTGTTATTTACTTTTTTAAAAAATTTTAACCATCCTGGTGGGAGTGAAATGATACCTTATTGTCATTTTGATTTGCATCTCTCTGATGGCTAATGATGCTGAGCATCTTTTCATGTGTTTGGTGGCCATTTGAATGTCCTCTTTTATGAAATGTCTGTTTAAGTCCTTTGCCCATTTTATGATTGGGTTATTTGTCTTTGTTGTTAAGTTGTCAAAGTTATATATATTTTTTTGTTATTAGGTTGTTGTCAGGTATATGGTTTTCGAAGATACTCTCCCAGTCAGTAGCTTGTCTTTTCACTTTTTTGGTAAAGTCTTCTGATGAACAAAAGTTTTAAATTTTTATTAGGTCCCATTTATTTAGTCTTTTGCTGTTTGTGCTTTTATCATTATATTAGATAATCCATTGTTGAAAGCTAGGCCTGACAGCGTTGACCCTGCTTGTTCTTCTAAGAATTTTATGGTTTAAGTTTGCACATTTAGGTCCTTAATCCATTTGAATTTGTTTTTGTGTATGACGTGAGGCATGGATCCTGTTTGATTTTTCTGCATGTGGAAATCCAGTTTTCCTAGCACCATTTATTGAAGAAACTCTTCTTTCCACATTCAATAGATGTAACAACTTTGTCAAAACTCTCTTGACCATAGATGTGTGGGTAATTTTTGGACTGTCAGTTTTATTCCGTTGGTCTGTATGTCTACTGTTACACCAGTACAAGGCTGTTTTGATTACGGTGGCTGTATAGTATGTTTTAAAATCAGGAAGTATGAGTCCTCCTACTTTGTTCTTCTCTTTCAGCATTGTTTTAGCTATTTGGGGTCTCTTGCCATTTCTATAAAGTTGAGAATTGGTTTTTCCATTTCTGTAAAGAAGGCTGTTGGAATGTTGATTGGGATTGTGTTGAATCTGTAGATTGCTTTGGGTAGTACTGATATTTTAACAATATTGAGTCTTCCAATCCATAAACATGGAACTTCTTTCCATTTGTTTAGATCTTCTTTAACCTGTTTCAGTAGATTTTTATAGTTTTCACTGTATACTTCCTTCACATCTCTGGTTAGATTTATTTCTAGGTATTTTATTCTCTTAAATGCTGTTGTAAATGGAATTGTTTCCCAAATTTCCCTTTCAGATTTCTCATTGCTGGTGTATAGAAGCCCAACTGATTTTTGTTTTTTGACCTTGTACCCTGCAACTTTCCTAAAATCCTTTATTAACTCTGAAAGTTTTCTTACAGACTTTTTGAGATTTTTCTGTATGTAAGATCATATTACCTGCAAATACAGATAATTTTACTTATTTTTTTTGAATCTGGACACCTTTTATTTCTTTTTCTTGTCTTTTTGCTCTAGCTGGGACTTCTAATACAATCTTGAATAGAAGTGGTGAGAGCGGGCACCCTTGTCTTAGTCCCAATTTCAAGGGGGAAAGCTCTCAGTC